GGAGGACTACTTATTGCTAATGGAAAATCAGATTCTGCTTGCAAAGAACTGTGTTACCACTTTTTTATTATGAACCCTACTAGCTGGTATCTCAGGGGAAGCAGATCTTTGGTCCACAACTGGACATCAGTAAAAGGACTCACCGCTGCAACCTGCGTTGGATGGTAAAAGTTAAATGAAGGATGTTAAATGTCTTTCTTTTCCTTTATTATATCCTCCTGGTCTCAGAGTTTCGTCTTGTCTTGACAAGATAGGATTTTAGGTGGTTTTTATACGAACACAAGTTATTCATACTCATCTCAAATCGAATAAAAATTACTGATTATTCGGGCAACAATGCCCTCTTACCATCGAAAGGATGAACTGATATGAAAAACAAGCAAACATAGCCCCATAAATATCTAAACAAAAGTAAATCCTAATAAAACCGTAACAACTGGAAATCGTTGGCAGAAATTTGAATACTAGTAATAGAAGTAAAAGTCCAGATACTGTTAGCTCAAGACTAAATACAGCTTGTAGAAGACTAAATAGTGTTGGCAGTTCTTACATATTGGTAATAATTGGTTATTCTCCGTTTAAAAAAGACTAGATACTGTTGGCTAAAGGCTAAATATTGACTGCACAGAGCCAATACTGTTGGTAAATGATTCTTTAGGATTTCTCCTGTTATTCAACAAATGATGATTGCTGCGATTGCTCCTATCTCATCGTTGTGCTGCTGTCCTTTTCCCCCTCTTGTCCATTGCATAATTTGGATATTCAGTCTTCCGTCAATCGGTCCACATGTTGACTCCATTGGCTCTTTCTTTCCATGACCCATCTGCCAATATTCTGTAGATCGCATCTGACTCTTATTGTATTATTAATTTGTCAATCTTGTAAAGAAAGTTATAAGAACTTCATCCACACCATTCTTCGTTTCTGTTTCGTTCTTTGTATTTCTGCTATGGTTTCTGCTCCACATTTTATAAGTACTTGTGTCAATTGAAGATATAATCGGTGTTATGGGATGGTTAAAAGATAAAGGTGTCTTTGGGTTCATTGGTATACAGTTAAACATAGCTATGTTTTGGTGTACAAGAAAATCTTTTGCTGATTTGACATTTTTTTTAGTTTTGTTATGGAAAGCAACAGTAGGCGTTTTTCTTATTTCTATAAAGTTATTATCATTAAAAAATTGTAAAGTTTTTGAAATATATAAAGGTTAAACTAAAATTAGAACTAAAACTAGAACAAACACTAGAAATAATAATTGTTTTTGGTTTTTCTTAACATTGTGTTGATTTAGATGAAAATAATTTTTTCTATACTTTTTCAATGTTATATTTATTTAAGTTCTCTATTCTACATGTTTCGAGGATCCAGTCCTCATCTTCAGGAAAATTCGTCAATTTTTGAATAGAAGATAACCATATCCCTCGGATTACAATTCAAAATTCATAATACACGCCGATGAATTCTAGAATCTTCCAATTCAATTTTAATAGTTTATTTCTGTTTTAATTGTTTAATCGTAAGAATTTTGAATTGTAATCCGAGGGATATGGTTATCTTTTATTCAAAAATTGACGAATTTTCCTGAAGATGAGGACTGGATCCTCGAAACATGTAGAATGGAGAACTTAAATAAATATAACATTGAAAAAGTATAGAAAAAAGAATTTTCTTCTAAAACACTAGAAAGTTTCGGGTTTTGCCGTGCGTTTTTTAATAAAAGGTTTCACGTTTAGGATGCCATGTTGCAACCTTCTTCAGAAACTGGTTCGAAGTCCCCAACCCAAACCAACCCAACCCAACCCAACCCAACCCTAATGATTCTAGTTCTAGGTATAGTGTTAGTTCTAGTTTGACACTTGCNTCACCTCGTAACTGCCGGTAGTCAAAACGGGGGGAATGGTAGGCCCCATATAGCCTCCAAAAATGGTAATGTCAAAAGAAGACAAAGCCTCGGATGGGGGCACCGGCCAAGCAGCGCCGTGCCCTACACGTGGAGACCGGTCGACTCTGCGCGTTTACAAAGACCAACAAACCTTACGAGACCCTGCTAGCCAGGGTAAGGAAGATGAGATTAACATCTTCAGGAGAAGCTCACTCATTCCGCGCGATCGCACAGAAATTAGATCCGCACAGAGCCTTGAGAGCCGAGATAAAGAGCAAGAGACGGCGATCTTTGGAAGGAGCTCGATGGTATCGAGGTCACCACCACTACCACAACCAGAGAAGGTGATGAAGTCGAGTAGATCGGAAGTCGAAGACCTGGACCAGACCTTCGTATCGGTGGAAGAAGTTCCGACAGACAAGGAGAAGATGATGTTACCCGGCGGCCTGGTATTTCCGGCCATGGTGGACCTCGAAAGTCAGACGCCGGCGAGGATAAGAAGCTGGTCTATTGATAGCGGCATTACAAAACGGAAGAGGATGCAGAGAGACGACAGCGGGGAAGCGGCTGAAGCCGAAAACGAAGAGCCGAAACTCCTGAGCACTACGATAAAGGCGATTCTTGGCCTTATAGAAGAGCTCGAGCAAAACAAAGACAGAAACACTAAGCGAGAAATAAAAACCATAATTCAAAACTTAAAGAGAGAGGCCGAAGTGCTCAAGAAGCAGAATATAAAAGAGTGGCTAGAGAGTAAGACGCAACTGCCGAGCAAGAAAAGAGAGGAAATGGAGAAGAGGGAGACGAGGGAGATCGCTACCCAGACACAGTCGGTAGAAGAAGTAGAAAGCCTTAGGAAACAGAATGACAGGCTTAAGATAGAAAAGGCGATGCGATATTCGGATTGGTTAGAAACCGCGGACCTGAAGTGGGAGGATTCTGATTTCAGAACAACCTCGATAAAGGAGGGAAACCCCGTGTGGGATAAATTAGCGACGACGAAAGTCGTCATGGTCGAGCCAGACGACGTCGCCATGGAGAAAAGTGTTCAGGTGCACTTCAAGAGGACGTACCCGGTGCTGGAGGAATTAGGCGGAGAGTATGAGGAGATAGAGATGTCGACCCGAATAAAAGTAAAAGGAGAGGAGCGGGAAAGGTCCGAAAGGGTCATAAAGATCAACGCGGGTACGTCCGGGCTCGATACTTGGACGAACTTGGCCAGAGTCAGGGAGAACATCAAAGATGTGAAAGACATTGCCCTGCATCACCTGAAAGGGATGACGCTGAAAGCCCTCCGCACAATGGTGGAAATAATCTTTAGACCGATGGGCGTAAGAGTGGTCATATACACGACACTGGCCAAGAGACAAGAGGAACAGAAAATAGAAAGTGAGACAGGGAGAAGCAAAAACATCGACACGAGAAACACCTACGCACTGATAGTGGAAAACAAGACGATGTCATACGAGGAAGCCGTCATGGGAATAAAAGAAGCGATGAACGGAAGGAAAGAAATCGAACTAATCGAGGGTATTAGAAAGACTAGAGACGGGCGCGTTCTGATTACCACGAGAAGGGATAAAGAGGGGACTGCAGAAGTGCAAAAAAATACTGGCTGCGCGTGAGGGGCAGAGCGCCCAATCCAACCCAACCCAACCCAACTCAACCCAACCCAACTTTTTATTAAAAAACGCACGGCAAACCAGAAACTTTCTAGTGTTAGTTCTAGTTTTAGTTCTAATTTTAGTTTAATTCACACCGGCCGTGAAAGCCTTCGTACTTATATATAAAGGTTTCTCTAAAATAACTAAACCAGCGTTTTTATCAGCATTTATGATTATTAAAGTTTTCATTTCATCCAGTATGGTGTTAGATGTTGTGGTCCTGTTAGATTAACTCTCCTTCCTTTTCAGCCAGTCAACCAGATCCTGCCTTAAGTTCTCCTCTTCTGGTGTGTTATGAGCAGCAGTTTCGAGTTCGATGGATATTTTAGGTAAATTGTGTCCCTGTGGCGCAATACTACATGTGTGATCATTGTTCAGTAGTTCCCATTCCTTATTGAAGCATTGATGTTGGATTCCAATCCTTGGCTGAAAATGGTGTTGTGATTTGTTATTTATGTTAGTTTTACTCAAACTTTCCTGTTTCTTGTTCCAAGCATTGTCAAGTTCATCTCTTTTGTGAATTTTAGCTTGAACAATCGTTTCTGTAGTTCAATGCGATGTAGTCTGATAGATGATCAATTTTATGGCGAAATTAATGTTTTTGTTGCCTGGTTTTATGCCTCCTTGTATAAGTTGCAATTGCTAGAAATTTCGACTACCAGGTAGTAGAAGGTCATCGGTTATGACTCCCTTCTAGCTCCATCTTGCATTTTTGCTCCTCTTTAGACGTCACTAATGATCATTAAATGATCATTATGCCATCGCCATTTAATTTTGCTACTTCAGCTTGTATCTTTTCCTGCTACGCCATGACGTGGTATATTAGTTGGTAGTTCCTGCACATTCCTCTTCACTCATACATATCTATTTTGTGATTTTGAAGCTCTATCAAAACATTCATGTTCCAGGACATAATGTTCTAAATGGCCAATCTTAACAAGTTTTTTTTGGTTTTCCGCTAATCTTTGAACATATTAAGAGACTTTTACTATTAAAAATCTTTATTATTCGTAAATTAACTAGAATAACTAATTTTTTTTTGTAACTTTAATCACAGCTGAGAAAAACTGACAAATAAAAAATTAATTACATAATTTATACAATCTAATCTTTTGACATTAAAGATTGTTTTACATTTTTTATACATTCCAGTGTGCAATAAAAACACTCAACCTTAATCTTTGTTTAATGTCTTGAAGTAATTGTGGTAGAAATCTCCGCACATAAATCATCGATATTAAAGAAACAGAGCCCGCAGTGAAACGGCAACAATTTTTTATTTAAAAAAAAATGCATTCTTCGCTTTCATAAATTTCCCAGTTTGTTGAACACCCAACAAACTTTCCATCTTTTTAACCAATTTAAAAAAACTTTGCAACCGTAACTAATTGTATCATAAACAACTATTTATATTAAATATTTATTTATTATAATTTTATTTATTTATTTTGTTGCAGTGGAGGTGATGGCTTTAAAATTCATCCTTCTTCAATGCATCTTTGCAAGTTTTCTTATCAAAAATGTTTCTTCAGCAGGTAAGTTAAGATTTAATCAATACTCAAAGAAATCGTTTCATTAATTAAAAAATTCGCCTCTTTTCTTTGAATGCTATCGATATCAAATTGGAGAAGAATCAATAAATAAGTTGTTAATGAAGCAAACATCTAAAAAAATTATTTTTCGAGTTAATTTTAAAGAAATAAATAAATCTTACTGAAAACACAAACGTTAAATCCATATTAAATAATTCGCAAGCTTTTAATTCTAATTTATCGTGCATTAATTTAAACACAGAAACCATAATAACATTTCTCGTGTCGACGTTTTCAGGTTCGATTTTAACGTTAAATAAAATATTTTTCGTCTCGTTCACTTCGGCGCATAACAAAGTCGTCGTTCTCATCGATAAAAATAATTCGACGCTGTAAAATAGTAATAATCGAGTTGAACTAAATATATGAAAGAGATTATTTTTCTTTCCAACCGTTAAACAATACAAAACTATATAACCATCTGATAATAACAAAATAAACGATAAAATAAAAGTTATTAAAATCATAAATCCGAAAACGTTGTTTAAATGACGAACTGCATCGACGATTTTTTTATGTATTTTTAGCGCAATTTCGATGTCGACTTCTAATTTTTCTAATTGTTTAATGTGGCTTGAGCAATTATTAATTTTTTGTTTTAAAAATTCGTTGATTATTTGGGTTCGTGTTTTGAAAATTAAAGCGGAAACATAAAATTTTGATTTCGTTGTTGATATTATCATAATCGGCGCCATCGTTTCGTACAATTTCCAAGATAACTCCTCATCGATGCGATTAAACCCAAAATAAATCAATATAGTACTTAAAAAATAAAAAATAAAGTAATTAAAAAACGCCAAAGCAATAGTTGCCTTCTTTAAGAAATCATTTTTCTTTTTCATTTCTTTTCCCAATTTCAACCCGAATAAATCCTCATCGATTTTTTCGAACAATTTAACCGTATCCGTTTCCTTTTTAAACGAAAGTGTGTTACAATAAATTATTGCGTAAACCATCACGATTATATTCCCAATAAACATCGCTTCTTTTAATACAATAACAATAGCCGAAGAAAAATCGTATTGGATTAATTCACCGACAAAAAATAAACACGTAAAATACGAAGATAAATGGAACAAAGCGAAAAAAGCGGATAGAAAGGATCGTTTGTATTCGCCAGTTTTCGATTTGAAGAATGATTGTTGTCCGAAAATTTTACAAATTGTGTTGAATACGAATAAAGATTCGCCTAAAGGTGTTGGTCTCGGTTTTGTTTGTACTTGTATTGCCTGAAAAAGATTAAAATGAACGAGGTGAATGCAATTTGAACGTAATAAGCAGGTATTATCGAGGTGAAAGTCGATTAAAACGAGATTTGTTAGGTGAAAGTAATAGAATTGGACCAATTTAATACGTAACAGTTCAATAATTATTACTGATTTGTTATAATTATTAAGAATTTGTCTATTTATCCATCTCATTTTAATAGAAACCTCTTAAATGACGGGTTTTTTCAACGATGATTAAATTAATTTATTTTTTATACAGGGTGATTCACATAAGAACCGGCACAGAGCAGGGACATGTAGAGGACAATAAATTAAGATGATTTAACGTAACTTACCTCTATACTAAGACTAAAGACACTAAAGACACGTATTTCGTATTGTTACTTAAAATAAGAAAAAATTTAGTAGTCGCCTATAAAATTGTACGTCAAACTTGACAAATAGGTTATAAAGTTATTTGACGACAAGGTTTATCTTTTCTCCATCGCCTTTTATTCTTGAGTTATGATCGATTTTAACACCAAAAGTACCCAATTTTGACATTTTGGGGATTTTCTCTTTATCACCTGAAAATCATTACATCTAAACTAAATTTGTTTATGAGTAAGGTCCTTTTAGTTCCTAATAAACAATTTATTTGAAATATACTTTTCTCCATCACCTTTAATTTTTGAGTTATGATTTATTTTAATACCAAAAGTACTCAATTTTGACATTTTGGTGATTTTTTCTTTATCACTAGAAAATCATTATACCTAAACTAAATTTGTTTATGGATGATGTCTTTTTAGTTCATAATAAACAATTTATTCCTAAAAAACTTTTCTCCATCACCTTTCATCCTTGAGTTATGATCAATTTTAATACCAAAAGTACTCAATTTTGATATTTCGATGATTTTCTCTTTTTATCATTAGAAAATCATTATAACTAAACCAAATCTGTTTATGAGTAATGTCCTTTTAGTTCATAATAAACAATTTATTTCAAATAAACTTTTCTCCATCACCTTTAATTTTTGAGTTATGATCTATTTTAATACCAAAAGTACTCAATTTTGACATTTTGGTGATTTTTTCTTTATCACTAGAAAATCATTATACCTAAACTAAATTTGTTTATGGATGATGTCTTTTTAGTTCATAATAAACAATTTATTCCTAAAAAAATTTTCTGCATTACCTTTCATTCTTAAGCTATGATCGATTTTAAGATTAAAAGTACTCAGTTTTGACATTTTGGGGATTTTTTCTTTATCACTAGAAAATCGTTATACCTAAACTAAATTTGTTTATGGATGATGTCTTCTTAGTTGATAATAAACAACTTATTCCTAAAAAACTTCTTTCCATCACCTTTCATCCTTGAGTTATGATCAATTTTAATACAAAAAGTACTCAATTTTGATATTTTCATGATTTTCTCTTTTTATCATTAGAAAATTATTATAACTAAACCAAATCTGTTTATGGATGATGTCTTTTTAGTTCATAATAAACAATTTATTCCTAAAAAAATTTTCTCCATCACCTTTCATTCTTAAGCTATGATCGATTTTAAGATCAAAAGTACTCAGTTTTGACATTTTGGGGATTTTCTCTTTATCACTAGAAAATCATTATATCTAAACTAAGTTTGTTTATGGATGACGTCTTCTTAGTTGATAATAAACAACTTATTCCTAAAAAACTTTTCTCTATCACCTTTAATTTTTGAGTTATGATCTATTTTAATACCAAAAGTACTCAATTTTAGCATTTTGGTGATTTTTTCTTTATCACTAGAAAATCATTATACCTAAACTAAATTTGTTTATGGATGATGTCTTTTTAGTTCATAATAAACAATTTATTCCTAAAAAATTTTTCTCCATCGCCTTTCATTCTTAAGCTATGATCGATTTTAAGATTAAAAGTACCCAGTTTTGACATTTTGGGGATTTTTTCTTTATCACTAGAAAATCGTTATATCTAAACTAAATTTGTTTATGGATGGTCTTTTTAGTTGATAATTAACAACTTATTCCTAAAAAACTTTTCTCCATCACCTTTCATCTTTGAGTTATGATCAATTTTAATATAAAAAGTACTCAATTTTGATATTTCGATGATTTTCTCTTTTTATCATTAGAAAATCATTATAACTAAACCAAATCTGTTTATGAGTAATGTCCTTTTAGTTCATAATAAACAATTTATTTGAAATATACTTTTCTCCATCACCTTTAATTTTTGAGTTATGATCTATTTTAATACCAAAAGTACTCAATTTTAGCATTTTGGTGATTTTTTCTTTATCACTAGAAAATCATTATACCTAAACTAAATTTGTTTATGGATGATGTCTTTTTAGTTCATAATAAACAATTTATTCCTAAAAAAAATTTCTCCATCATCTTTCATTCTTAAGCTATGATCGATTTTAAGATCAAAAGTACTCAGTTTTGACATTTTGGGAATTTTCTCTTTATCGCTAGAAAATCATTATACCTAAACTATATTTGTTTATGGATGATGTCTTCTTAGTTGATAATAAATAACTTATTCCCAAAAGCTTTTCTCCATCACCTTTCATCCTTGAGTTATGATCAATTCTAATACCAAAAGTATACAATTTTGATATTTCGATGATTTTCTCTTTTTATCATTAGAAAATCATTATAACTAAACCAAATCTGTTTATGAGTAATGTCCTTTTAGTTCATAATAAACAATTTATTTCAAATAAACTTTTCTCCATCACCTTTAATTTTTGAGTTATGATCTATTTTAATACCAAAAGTACTCAATTTTGACATTTTGGTGATTTTTTCTTTATCACTAGAAAATCATTATACCTAAACTAAATTTGTTTATGGATGATGTTTTTTTAGTTCATAATAAACAATTTATTCCTAAAAAACTTTTCTCCATCACCTTTCATCCTTGAGTTATGATCAATTTTAATACCAAAAGTATTCAATTTTGATTTTCTCTTTATCATTAGAAAATCATTATAACTAAACCAAATCTGTTTATGAGTAATGTCCTTTTAGTTCATAATAAACAATTTATTTGAAATATACTTTTCTCCATCACCTTTAATTTTTGAGTTATGATCTATTTTAATACCAAAATACTCAATTTTAGCATTTTGGTGATTTTTTCTTTATCTTTATTCTTTAAATTTGTTTATGGATGATGTCTTTTTAGTTCATAATAAACAATTTATTCCTAAAAAAATTTTCTCCATCATCTTTCATTCTTAAGCTATGATCGATTTTAAGATCAAAAGTACTCAGTTTTGACATTTTGGGAATTTTCCCTTTATCACTAGAAAATCATTATACCTAAACTATATTTGTTTATGGATGATGTCTTCTTAGTTGATAACAAACAACTTATTCCTAAAAGCTTTTCTCCATCACCTTTCATCCTTGAGTTATGATCAATTCTAATACCAAAAGTATTCAATTTTGATATTTCGATGATTTTCTCTTTTTATCATTAGAAAATCATTATAACTAAACCAAATCTGTTTATGAGGAATGTCCTTTTAGTTCATAATAAACAATTTATTTCAAATAAACTTTTCTCCATCACCTTTAATTTTTGAGTTATGATCTATTCAATTTTAGCATTTTGGTGATTTTTTCTTTATCACTATAATATCATTATACCTAAACTAAATTTGTTTATGAATAATGTCTTTTTAGTTCATAATAAACAATTTATT